CAGAAGGTATGCCAGAATGTTTGCCAGATAGAATGCCAGAAGATTTGCCAGATAGGATGGCAGAAGATATGCCAGAACATATGCCAGAAGATATGCCAGGTAGAATGCCAGAAGGTATGCCAGATCGAATGCCAGAAGATATGTCAGATAGAATGCCAGAAGATTTGCCAGTAACAAATCGATAAATGTCATGGTGGGGATCACACGAAGTAAAGTAATTATTGGGATGTAACACAGATGTATTTTTCTAGAATGGGCTGAGGTGGAACGAACGAATTTTTGGTGGCATTAGTTGCAATGTGGCCTGGACCGTGGAGCCAAGGATGCTGGTGCCCCATTCTTGAGCCATACCCAAACTGGTGGATAACTATAAGTATAACTAATAAAGTACAGTATATATATATATACATGCATCTACAATCATCTACATATATATACATATATATAAATACTAAACACACATGTATATGGAAAATCCAGGATCTAAATTCAAAGATGTCATTGATGTAAAATCTATTATCTATCATCTAAGATGTCTAATATGTAACGATTTGCGCCCCTGGAACCTGCCAGGAGTTCATCTTGCCCTGGGAAGCCTTTGAGGAGATGGCGGGTTCCGTGGGTCTCAGGCTGGGAGAATGGTCATGTTTCATGGCGCTGCAGCTTTCCCCAGCGAGATATCATCAATGAATATATAGATATGTATACATGATTATACATGTATATGAGCAATTCGCAGATCCCACCCCGACCCCCCAAACCGAACCCCAAACATTTGTAAATAAATAAATATATATATACATACATACATACTTACATACATACATACATACATACACACATACATACATACATACATACATACTTACTTACATACATACATACACACAGACATACATACATACATACTTACTTACTTACATACTTACTTACTTACATACATACATACACACATACATACATACATGCATACATACTTACTTACTTACTTACTTACATACATACATACATACATACTTACTTACATACATGCATGCATGCATACATACTTACTTACTTACATACATACATACATACATACATACACACATACACACATGTTTTTTTTGTAATACATGTTATAAGTTACGACTTGTTTTTAGGATGGCTCATGCCCTATGACTTTCCACGCTTTGCGTGGGGGTATGAAAATCCATTTGCATCCATGAACACAAGCAGCTGCCAGGGTCTTGGCGGATGCATCGTTCCCTGACCTTTTTGACCAACTGAAAGACAGGCATGGCATCTGGGTGCAATGGGCGCATGTCATGAGCCGTTTGTTTTGGTGAAGAAGATGCGACCTATCAACAGCAGTCCAACATTGGTTGGGTTGGACCAAAAGAAAGATCTGCAGGAAACCATAGTTTTCATTTGGGAAAGGTAGAGTCCATCATGTTTGAGCTGCAACCTGCACAGATTGCTTTAGATCTTCCCTGCCTTTTCCCATCTGAGCAACTGCTTGGGAGGTCAAAATTCTACCACAACACATTCTCGAAAGATGCTTGTCTGCTTCTGCATCAAACATGGAAGTGTTTTTTTCTTGCTGTTGTTCTTCAAGATCATCTGGGTTTTAGACTGGTTTCAACCACATATATATAGATATAGATATAGACATATATATATATACATATATGTATATATATATACATGTATATGCATATTACGCTATTTACATGTATGTATATATATATATATTCTATGATATGTATATATATACATACATACATACATACATACATACATACACATATGATGCACTTATGTATATCCATCCTGTGCCAAGATGATGTAGCTGAGGATATGAAACCTCTGGACACAGAAGAAGAGACTCTCTTCAAGCTGTACCCCGGGCACTGATGGGCTTGCCACGTGTACATTCGCCCCACCAACAGGAGAATGACACTGAAATGGGTGCCAACTGCTAGGACAAATCGGGCTAGAATTTGGGTATGGATGAAAATTATTGAACCAAAAAAAAATGGATGGGCTAATACGAACCCATCATCAAAACACTATCACTTTTTGTGGGTCCAGTGGCACCCAATTCGCTAGCCACACCCCTACGCATACCAACCACCTCTGGAAGATTGAAAGAATTTACTGCCTGATGTTTTTTACCTGCCATTTTTTTTCTGACAGGTTTGTACCCGCTGATGAACTTGCAATCTTTAGGATCGAGAACCACACAATTTGGGGCCCATGACGAACATTGGTCTTTTCGTGATGATTAAACTGCTGCTGACTCCCCCAATTTTGGCCGGTCAACCCTCAAAGTTGGTCAACCACCCATCTTTGCTGGTTAAACTACACCTTTGCTGGTTTATTCTTATTTTTGCTGGTGTTAAGGCATCCTTTTTTCCTGGTTCAGGGCCCTTCTGAGAATGGAGGCCGGCCATCTGTTCTGCCAAGGTACCAGGGCTTCGTGATGGAAAGGACCCGCGCCAGCGCCCAACGCTTGCAGGCGCGGCATGGTTCAAGGCGACCAATTTTCCACCCTACCCTGGTTTGGCATTGGCATTGGATCTACCCTCCAGTAACCAATCATGGAAAGGACATATGGGTATGGATCAATACCTATGAATACCATTTTTAGGGGGATGAACATCCATTTACCAGCTATTTTGATGTTCACCAGGCGTACAAGGTTTTGACACACTGCCATATCATGGTAGGAAGAAATGGATGTTTTAATGGGAAAATCCATGCTGAAAATGGGGATGTTCCACTACCATGCTTGACTACTGGAGGGTTTTCAGTTTATTGATCCAAAGGGGGGTATTTCACCATGGGGAGCTGATGATTTTGACCGCTGAAAATGGGATGGCAATGGATCCAGCAACATTTTGGGTGGTTCAAAGATTTTTGGGACATATCTAGATTAGGTTGAGACTGGTGGGCAATCACTTGACCACATGCATTTGCCCATACGTCTATGTCACTGAGGGAAAAAAGTGGCCATGGATACCTCTCCTTGGACTTGCTACTCACATAGCCACATATAGACATAGACATTATGGCTCAAATTGGGTAGAGGTCAGAAATATCAACCACCAATACAGGATGGTTCAATGCAAAAACGACTCACCAATTTGGCTGACTTGGTACCCCAAGTTTGAACCATATCCAAATAAGGTACAGTACCCAAAAGGGCTACAGATTCACATGGCAGCAACCCATGAATTCCATGACCGTGGACGATAGAAATCTTCAACTTGCTGGATTCAAAGATCGTTTACGAAGCGGTGCAAGCGGGTCTTCACCCAAGCCAGGAGTCAATATCAGGGATCATCCCAACTGACATGTTTGGGGGGGGGCGTTAAAGCCATCAACTATTTTTTAGTGAATCACCCAATTATCGATAGTAAATCACCATGTTTTAGTAAATCACCCATGATTTTCATGATTGATTTTCTCATTAAAACCGTCCATTTATGGTGATTATGAACAGAAACAATCCCATTGCCACTTTTGACCACTGGAGGGTACTGGCCCAAAAAATCGACTTCTCCTCTGTCCTCCAGTGGTCTCCTGGCAGGTGCCGCCCCTGAGCCGAGTTGAGGGAGAACAAAAAATCTGTGCCCCATGGAATTTGGAGACACAACCCCAAAAAAATAACCTAGGATGAATGAACACGGCAGTGTATTGATATGTATGTACATATATCTACATCTACATCTACATCTACATCTACATCTACATCTACATATATCGATATCCATATCTATGTCTATATCTATATCAATATATATATATTTCCTCCATATATATATACACATATTTATGTATATTTTTCTGTATATTTTTCAATATGTGTATATATGTATATATATACATTGTATATGTTTTTCTATATCTATATCTATGTCTATATCTATGTCTATATCTACATCTATATCTATATCTATATATAGATAATAATGGAAATTGGTGGCAAACATTGACACTATTAATTATCACCCATATTGGGCACGCCCTTGAGTCCCGCCATTGAGGTGGAGCCTGAAAAGCCCGCTGGAGGTTCTGGAGAGGGCGGCTGAAGGATCTTTGTGCAATACCGTAGTTTTAAGGGCTTAATCTCAGGGGTTAATCGGTGAACTCAGGTTTTTGCGAATTTGTCAATCATTTCTTCGTGGCTTCTTAGATGTATACCCTTTCGCAAACTAACAGTTCAATGTGGAACATCCACCATTTGTAGATCATCTCCGAATGGGTTTCCCCATGGCATTTTCCACATCTATGGTATATATATATTTATATTACTTACTGGTGCTTAGCAGGGGATGAGGGAATGATCCCAGTCATCACTAGTAATAATCATCCCAGCAACCCTCATTCCCATCCATTCCCTGCGAAGCACCAGTAAGATTATCCCCATATATCCACATTTTGTCCCTCCAGGTGCCGCCGCTGAGCCTGAGATGGCCTTTCCGGGGCGTGTGAGGCGAGAATCTACGCAGAGTTTGGAGGGTTTGGAGGGACCAAATGAGGATGGCGATATAGTAATCCTGAAGTAGATAGAGTATGGAAATCTCAAACGTATTACCATTTGAATGAAGATTTTTGGAGATTTTTTATATTCCATCTACTCAATGATGATATGAAGGAGATATACTATATTTGGTAGCAAATTTGGGGTTGTCTTTAAATGGGAGTCACCAAAATGGCATTTTTGTGTGGTGAACATGATGAGAGACCCATGGGACTTTAGGTGATCCCAAAGGGCCCTGAAGATAACACCAGCAGGGCTTTCAAGCAGCAAAGCTGTGGTTTTTATGCACCATTGAAGCAGCAAGAATGAAAAAAGGGGATAACAACAGAAATAACATTCGACATGACGATTTAACTCAGCCAGATGGGGATACCCTCTGGTAAACGTTTGCATAAGTATGGAAAATCACAATTTTAAATAGGTACATCAACTACAAATGGCCATTTTCAATAGCTATCTTAGTTTACCAGAGGGTAAATCGCAGAACCAGCAAACCTAGGGATTTAAGCATCTTGGCGAGTGCTTGGACAACCGAATCAACTTCTTCAAGTTACACGGTTTGTTTTTCAAATAGCTGTAGCAACTCCCAAAAAGATTATATGAACTATATAAACCGTTTCGATATATCCCTAATTCTCAATTTATCACTAATTTAATCTAATTTATCACTAATTCAGTGGGTTTTTATCACCATTTTAGTGGGTTTTCACCAACTTCCAGTCTTTTTTGGGCCTCTTTTCCGTCGGAGCTCCGCTAGGCGGGACCTCCCTCCGCGGCCTCTTTGCCGTGCACCGGGCCAGGGTCTCAGGCGGTCTCCCAAATGGTCAACGTAGGGAACATGGCCCATAGAAATGGATGATTTACCTATTTAAAATGGCGATTTTCCATGATTTTCCATAGTTATGCAAACGTTTACCAGAGGGTAGATGTTGTTGGTTGACATCCCCATTGTGGTACTTTATACCATATATACAAATAATACGTATATATATATATTGTCAAAGGGAACTAAACGCTAGGACACTTATCATGTACATATGTGAATGTGCATTGAAACGCCGTACTGGCTCAAGTCCCTGCGCGAGGAAAAGTCCGAGCTCCGCTTGCAATGCCGTAACGCTGTCCAAAGCTACCAGCATAACGGGTATCACAGCTCAATAACTACATCCAGAACAAGGATCCATTTGTTCACAGGTTATCAGCCGTAAGGGCTCACTTCTCCCGCCGGGAGAGTGGTACCTGCGTGCTGGTAGCCGGGCCGTCTGAGCAATTGATTGAGGACGCAAAGGACCAATCAGCTCATCATCGCAAAGATGCAAGGCGGCAGCGGAGATTCGCGCACCACGCAGTTTACCTTCAATGAGAACGCTGCTATGCCGGTCGAGGAGGTCAATCAATCTTCCCCTGGCGACACGGCAGACAGTGGCGGGATACGCTCTACCCGAACTACACAGTCCGGATGGCAAGTCACATCAAACAGACGAAGAATATCCACCCAAAGTACACCTAGATCTTCTCGAAACAGTGCTCGGAGTGATGTTGTCCGCCAAGGGCATCGACCATCTCGAGGACGTACTACTCCAAGGGACAGATCCACCAGGGCCGTGACCGACCGAATTGGTGAGAGGACCGGGGATAGTCGTGTTAAGAGGAGATCAACGGATACTTCTGTGGCTAGTGAACCTATTGCCATGATAGAGGAACTACGGGCGCAATGTCAATCCCTACGTAATCAGCTGAACAACATGGAAGCATACGCTGCATCCAGGGATCAACTGATTCATGACATCGAGATCAGATTCACTGAGTATCTTTGGGAACACAATCAGAATGTATTTGATGAGGTCAATGCACTCAATCATAGATTGTCATGTTCCGCAAATGAGGTTGCAGAATATCAAGCAGAACTAATGGTAGCATCTCAGGAAGACGAAGGTGCAACAATACGCATCCAAGACCTTGAACGCCGAGGTGCCCTAATGGAACATGGTGCACGACGGATCCATCAACCTGGTATGGAGATCCAGGAGGAGTACAAGGATGAAGTACATCACCTTCAAGGACTACTGGGTAATACGGAGGCAAGACTACAACAACTTCATCGAACCAATGTCTTAACCACCGATATTGCCAATCGACTATACAATGAAGGTCAAGAAATGCAAAATGATTTCCAGAACTCAATCATGGAATATCGTAATCGATCTGAAATGGCATCCTTCTCTAGTAATCAACTTGAAGTGATTAGCCAACAACAATCAATTGCAGTTCATGAATTATCTGAGCGAAATCAGCTATTGAGTGAAGCTTTGGTTCAGTCTCGTAAACAGGCCGAGCTGTATGAGAGCAGTATTGATGAGATCACTAGAGAATCTAGGAAGAAGGTGTTCGAGGCAAATCAGGCCAAATTGGAAAGTGATCTGAAGCATCGAAACACTGAACATGATACCGTCAGAAGAATTGCATCATACAGGAACCAAGAGGCCGAAGCAATATCTCACCTGAGGCTTGAATCACAGGCTAGTGCAAACTCGATCGCAAGGGCAGAGCACTATGAGGAGCTCTATGCCAACGAGCAGAAGATGAACTGCGAATTGAAGGATGAGATCAAGTTGCAGAACACGAAGTTACGAAGATCGTTGACTCAGGGTTCTACGACCGACGGTCGTGGCCCCGAAGAGATGCTTGTTGAAGATCTACGTAATCAAGCTAAGATCGCTCAAATCAGGGTTCAGGATCTAGATCATGAAGTTCATGAATGTTTACAAGAGAACTTGTTGTTAAAAGAAAGGTTGGCTGAAGTTGCGGATGTAGGGGCGTCGTCCCTCACCAATGCTGAGGTCCGAACTCTAAGATCTGAACTAGAGAGTGAGCGAAAATTGAAATTGGCGAGTGGTGTTCAACAATATGAGAGATCATGCATGTTCATGGGGGAAATCCAGGATAGGGATGAAAAGATTGGCATCAAGAAT